TATATCCGATTTTGAATACTCATAAATAATGTCATATTATTTTACTATTTATTTGACTTGTTTAAACTTTATAGTTGAAATCTTTTTTCTTAGCGAAATTATTAAGCCATTCTTTAAATTCTAACTAGCTAATGAAAGTAAACCCTATTTTTAATTTCAAAGTATCATCTTGATCTTTAATTTCTTCTAAATCTGTACCAGATTTAGCATTGTTAAAAATATGCTAACTATTACTAATATTGTTCTTGTGAGGAATTAAAATGATTTAATATAGTAATATCTAATAGAATCAATTAAACTAAAATATGACCAAATTACTTACTTGTGATAATAAGAAACTATTATTTGTATTTAAATTAAGTAGATCTTGGTCTTTGTTAGAAGGTGCTGATCTTTGCCAAAATAGATATATCAAAGCTATTACCTATTATATAATTGTTAAATAAAAAAGATCTAATATCATTAACCAAATTAAAGACTTATTTGTGACAAAGAAATATTATCATTTGCATTTATGTAAAGAAGGTCTGAAATTGTTTGCAGCATTTTTCAACTGGTGGAGATGAACTAGTAAATTCAATAATACTTGAAAAATATTGATTATTGCTAAAATCATTCTACCAAAGTAAAATTATATGAATAATAATGAAAAAAATTTATATTATAGCTAACTTAATCAAACTAAGCATTATATAAAGGTAAAAATAGTATCATTAGCACTTACGTAAAGGTCATTAACAAGTATTAAAGAATTTAAAATTTTCTGAAGCATTTTATACCAGAAGCAGAGCTAAGGTGAAAACTATATTTTAAACAAAGGTAAAATGTGTTTAGCTAAGGTAGAAACTGTGTTTTAAACAAAGCTAAAATATGTTTTTTAGTTTGTTCTTTTATATTCAACTTGATTCACTCTATTTCTTTGTTACAATACTGAGACAACCGATTTTTTGATCACGATATTGTAAGTTAAAAGCTAACACTACAAAGAAAACAATATTACAAGTTAAAGAAAAACTACACAGATGATCAATTTATTTGATCACAATATTACAAGAAAAAAACTACTAAAAGGAACGATTTTTGATTACAATATTACAAATTAAAAAGTAAAACTAGACCATTGTTTTGATTGTTCACTTTATTTATTCGATTGCATAAATTTTAAACTCTGATAATATTAATTCATACTCTATATACAGGTTTGTGCTATATATATATTCATACTACAAAATAAATTATTATGTTATACTATATATTACATGTAT